TAGAACTGTGCTACATATTTGCAAAACATTGATTCCTTCAGATTTTGCTTTATACAGATTTTACTGATGTAGCTTTGGAGTGGGTAGAGAAAAATGTCAAAAGCAATCCTCATATTTCTGAATTAATTGAGATCAGAAGAGTTAGCCTGGAAAACCCAGCATCTTCCAGTGAGGAGTTGAATAATGAACCAGGAAAATATGGCCAATGTACAGACGCAGACTTCGACAATGGAAAGGCTGTTGTCATTGGGCCTTCATCTCCTGCTCATCTCCAAATGCACTCAGGTATAGGAAAAGGTTACGGTGGACCACTTATACTTGTTGGTGTAGTCAAGGATGGGGAGAAATTTGACTTTTGTATGTGCAACCCTCCATTTTTTTAGACGATAGAGGAAGCTGGATTAAATCCAAAGACTTCTTGTGGTGGGACTGTGCAGGAGATGGTTTGTCCTGGTGGAGAGAGTGCTTTTATCACTCGCATTATTGAGGATAGTGTTCAACTAAGGCAATCATTTCGGTATGGAATCATTCTTAGAATCTGGTTTATTGCATTATGTGTTACAGAAGTTTATCATGAAGGCTCAATTGTGAAGAGTCCTTATATTTCCTGAACCCATGTTTGCCAGGTGGTACACCTCAATGGTTGGAAGAAAAACTAACCTAAAGGTACTGACATCAAAGCTTTGGGAGGTTGGAGCAACAATAGTAAAGACAACTGAATTTGTGCAAGGCCAAACATGCTGATGGGGCCTTGCCTGGTCATTTCTCCCTGCTTCCAAGAAGATTGTACCATCTCATGTGGCTGAAAAGAATAACATGTCATTAATGCTTGAGGTCTGATATTTACTGGCCTTATTTCATGTGCAAATTTTGTCTTTTGTTAGAGATGTTGCTGAGTATGATACAACCTGCTTGAAGTCTTTAAGGGTCTATTTGGCCATGTGGCCCATGATTTCACTTGCAAGTATAATTATTTGCAAATTGAAGTTTTGGATTTTTTAAATTGAAATATTTTTTCAAGTTGAAACAGTTGGTTTAAGGTGTTTTTCAAGTGAAGTTTTTCAAAGCTTCAACTATTTCTGAATTCTTTTTGCAAGTGATGTTCATGCCTAAATGCCCAAACACAATTCAACTCCAACAAACGGCTTTCCAACTTCAAGTGATCTTTTTTTATTTGCCAACTTCAACTCAAGTTTTGTGTACAGGCATACTAAGTTATGGGGGTTGAGTTGGTATTTTGAAGGTTTTGACTATTGTAGATGTGGAGGTTCTTCTTTAGTAAGACCTTCAAAATACTAACTCAACTTCAAGTGATCTTTTTTATTTGCCAACTTCAAATCAAAACAAGCTCTGTGCTCTGCCCTCCCCCTCCCCCCACCTGAACGCAGAAAAAAAGTCTTCTGTCACTTGTGTTGGCATTGTTACCCTTCTACATTATAAATTGATTGTTGACACATTATACATTCACCAAGGTTTGGAACTTCTACAATACATATGAGGTCATGTGTTCCTTTGGCAGACTAACTAGTTTTGGCACGAACTGGTTGGACTAGTTCTGTTAATTACTCCATTGCTGGTGGGTCCAAGATTTCTTATTGATCTCCAATGTTTGTTTAGGGTCTGCAGCGCCATCAGAGTGCCTTCGATGTATTGCAATCAGTGGAATCCTACTTCTGCAATATTGGTGCATCCTCTAAATTAGACTCTGCCTCATTCAAAGTTGATGTACGCTCCATTTGTTCTTCTCTATGATTATTACTGCACCTATTTCATGTTCTTCCTGAATCTAAATTTTCTTCTAGGTATCTTTGTCAGCTGAGCAATGTAAATCTATCATGAAGACCCAAACACAGAATGGGACCAACCAGGATATATTGATATCTGCAAATTGTCCCTCTGACCAACTGAATGGCATGCGTCTCTGCGTTTCTGTAATTTTCTTATTAAAGTGATTTGCTTTTCGAACTAATGCCTCGTTATTCATAGGGCGGCTTGTTAGTCTCCTTATTATTTAGCATGATGTGGTCTAATGCCTGGTTGTATCTATAGGTCTTCCAGCAGATACCAGGGACACTTCTGGTGAAAGGATTATTGCTACAGAAAGAGATCCCTGTATCAGGTTTGTCCAAAACCATTTGCTCAGATCCAATCAGTGTAGTAATATTTCATTTTCCTCTTTTCCCTGCTTCCTGAACTATTTGGTCAGATTTGGTTATCTCATTCCCCTTCGACAGATTCTTTGATAAGCTAATTAGGTAAATAATTTAATTGGTTTAAGAAAACTCCTGTATATAAGCAGTATGTAAGAAAATAGAGAGCCTACAGAAAAATGTGTTTCTATAGATAACCAATTTTTTTCTATATAAATGGGAATATCATGGGTACACCAAAAGCTAACTAAAAATAAGGTGTTGTTCCTTGCATATACAAAGTCATTATCTATCTCCTTAAAAACTCTCCTATTTCTCCACTTCTACTGGATCGACATGATAGGCTAAAGCTGCCTAAAGGGACAATGATGTCCTACGTCTTCTCTTCTTCAAAAAGGCCCAGCTATGTAGGGCATCGTGCTCGAAACATACCTCGCCGGCTACACTCCAGACCAGTTCGATCTTCTATGATCAAGCTGATATCATCAGTCAATAAAAGGAAAGCTTCTTTCAAAGACAGCTCCATGAGATCTGCCTTCAATTACTAATTTCTCATCTTCCATCTAGGAGGTGCTCAGTTGTGTACTAATGTTAGTCTTTTTTTTAATACTAGTGTTAGCTTTAACTTGGAGCTCTAGTCCCTTTTGGCCTACTAATTCTTCTATTTCGATGTGATTACCTTGGCAGCCACAATATTTCATGTTGCTTTCTTCTCTCTAGAAGAGTATTTTACTGCAGTATTCTGAAACAGCTAACTTTTTACTCTCTTCCTCCGCAAACATTTAGTTCTCTTATACATTTTTGGGTTTGCTGGTTATTGTTCATGGAAAATAGTTGTCAAGACTTGTCCCAGTCTCCAGACATTTTTAACTAATTGTACTTATCTATTTACTTAGTAGGTTCTATGTCAAAACAGTCTGCCTGGTTTTAAGATACTTGCATCAACATATTCTCTTAGCCATCCTTTGATATTTCGTTCTTTTTTGCAGGGGTATTTTCTGTTATATTCCAGCAATTACAAGAAGTCCTGAAGAGCAAATTCAGTAAAGGCATCAGATGATAGTAGTTTGACTTATGTGAAACCTTTTGCCTTTTTAATAAAAAAGGTTTGACTTATGTAAGGCTAAACAGTTAGGTTGTGTAGGAAATGTTGTATATCTTTCTTTGCTCTCCTGTTTTATGATAGAATTTCTTCTTGTTGATTTGGGCAAAGCAACTTCACTGATATTACTACGATTGTGTAGAAAATCTTAAGATTGAATGCTTTCCAAATACTCAATGATTTACTCCCCTAATGATGTTTTACCCACTACTGAGCATTATCATCATCCTGGTTGAATGGCATCTTTCTGCAACTAATAAATGTGTCAATGTATTTTGCATTACTCATTTGGGACAGGATTATAGAAGAAAGTTTCTTGTTAGTGCTTGATCAATAAGATAAAAAGAGCTTTTCTATCAACAACAACAAACAAAATGTAATCCCACAAGTGAGGAAGAGGACTTTTCTATCAAAGGAAAAAAAACGGTGGTTATTGGTCTCTTACGATAAGGGAGACAACAAAAATCAAAATTCAGCAAAATTTTAGCCATGATCTTCCAATACAACAAAATACTATCCAGCAGGGTCCTGGATAACTATTACAGAGTACCTGCCAGCTTTAAATCCCTGGTTCTCAATCACCAGGGACTAAGTGTGCTTCTTTCAGAGTTTGACATTGCTGTTGCTTCCAGGCAGGCATCTTACCGGGGAAAGCCCACCTCATCAATCTTTCCCAGTCATAACACACCAAAAACGTAACCAGTGGCCAAACTAGCAGTTTATCTGTTAACGCCCTTGGTCTAACTAAGTTCAACCAGTCATTTAAATCTCGAGACAAATTACAGGCGATAATTGTGAAGCCCATGGCAGCCAAAAGCATATAAGAGGCTCATTTTCTGGTAAGCTCCAGTTGAAAGGGTGGCCCTTGTACTTCACAGCAAAGGTTGCTACCTGTATCATCACTCCCATCATGTATAAATGTATCGACAAAAATTGGGTAAAAATCAGTCTGGCTCAATTCAGCAGGAGGAAGAGGACGCAGGACCAGAAAATATTAGGATGTGCTCCCTTAGCTGACAGGGTTGGAAAGGGATGAACTGTGAGATAAACAAAAAGAAGAAATCAAACACGAAGTACTATTAGTGACAGTGGTTTCAAGTTCATTTCCAAAACCTCAATTTAATCTTTCAATCAAGGCATCTTTGCTATCAAATGATCCTCGCTTAAAAGGTATTATTATTCTTGAATGCATCCCAAGTGGTACTGCTTCAACAATATTTGGAGTTTCACAAATTCACAGTTAGATGATTTGGTAAAAACATTCTTTTTCCAAGTTTGCAGGTAACATAACAAAAATCAACATCTAAGAACCTGTATTCTAGTATGAGAACTAAGACCTATGAAATTAAGATGACTGGTTTTGATTTTAGAAGTTGTCTGTGACGTACGGTAGATGGCCTGGGGAGGGCACTGAAGGAAGAGATTTTGCTAGCAAAGGCTGAGAATGGAGGTCAAGCAGTGGCCCAACGATGTAATCATGCATTATCTTGAAACAAGAAAAATGAAACATACAGGTAAACTGAAAATACAAAACAGACTGTTAATCTAGTTCTTAACTGCAGATATTCAAAACAGACAAAGGTTCAACAAAATTTTGTTAGTGCAGCTAGATACTGTTCACATATTTCCACACAGGAAGATAATAAGTTATGAGAATTTTCAGCAGGCCATAGAACATAACTACCTGTTTCAATTTTAACCAAACATTTAGGTAAATGCTATAAATACCGTAACATGTGTTAAAACACATTTATTTTGCAAAACAATTCAGTAACAGAAGCAAAAATGGAACAAAATTTACCTTTTACTATCATGTACTAGATCATCAGCATTTGTCTGATCAGCTAGCAGTTGCAAAATAGTGTGTCCATCTCTCTCCAGAGTATTCAACTTATTGCACCCAAAATATGGGAGCATTTTATGTTCAATTTCTAACCAACTAACAGCCTCCTCTTTCCTAACATGTCTCTCATTCATAAGCTGTCTCACTTTCTCTACATTTTCCCACATCCCAAGTACACCATAAATACTTGACAACAGCAAATATGCGGCAGGAGACTGTGGGTCCAGCTCTATTAGCAGTTCTGCAGCCATTCTACCCAACTCCACATTTCCATGAATCCTACAAACACCAAGTAAGGCATTCCAAATATGATCATCAGGTTCACAAGGCATCTTCATTATCTGAGCTAGCACTTCACTAAAATGTCCTGCCCTACCCAAGAGGTCAATTATGCATGCAAAATGTTCTTGATCAGGAAGAACATCATAACTAGAGGTCATTGTCTCGAAAAAGGAAAGCCCTTCTTGCACTAACCCAGAATGACTACAAGCATTGAGAAGGACAACAAAAGTGATACGGTTTGGTTTCACTCCAAACTTCACCATCTTAAAGAACATTTCAATCGCCTCTTCACCCATGCCATGTTGTGCTAATGCAGACAACATAGTATTCCATAATACTGTATCATGCTTGTTATATGCGGTATCAAATACCCTCCTTGCAACTCCTAAACTTCCACATTTTGAATACATATCAATGAGTGAACTCAAAACAATTGTATTAGGTCTAAAACCAGCATTCACCAGAAATGCATGTATTTGCTTACCGTGCTTAAGCGATGCTATACCAGCACAAGCAGATAAGCAACTACTAAATGTAAACTGATCAGGTTGGACCTGAAGCTTCATCATCTTTGCAAATAACTCAAGGGCCTGAATGCTCATGCCACTGTGGGAATAACCAGCAACCAAAGCTGTCCAAGAAACAGGATTCTTCTCAGGCATTGCTTCAAAAAGCTCCCTGGCTGACACCATATCGCCACACTTTGAATAACCTGAAACCAAGGTGGTCCAGGCAAGAACATCTCTTACTCGCATTGCATCAAACAACCTCCTAGCATCGCTCATCTTCCCACATTTTGCATAAGCATCAACAATTGAACTAGAAAGAACTATATTGGATAAAAACCCAGCTATGAATACTTGACAATGAACCTGCCCTGTGAGAGAAAAATCCCTGGACTTAACACATGCAGTGATAACCCCAGCAAAGCTATACTCATTGAACCCAATACTTAACCTCCTAAATTCTCTATACAACTTGAGAGCCTCGTTGAAGTAGCCAACCTGAGCATGGCCAATTACCATAGTATTCCAAGAAACGACGTCTTTCTCCGGCATTTGGTCAAACAACCTTTTAGCAGCCTTAATCAGGCCTAACTTAGTATACCCAGAAAGCATATTATTCCATGAATACAAATTTCTCGTAGTCATTTTATCGAACACCTTACGTGCTTCCATATGATCACCACATCTACCATACATACTAATTAAATGGTTGGCTAGAAATGTAGTGGGGTGTTTCCACCCAGTAGTTTTGAGATGCAAATGGATCCATTTTCCTTCTTCACGTGATCTGGAATTGGCACATTGTTGAATGATAGAAGCAAGAGTTTTACTGTCTAAGCGAACGCCTTTACGGGTTAGGATGTTAAGGTAATTGAAGGCTTGTTTAAGATAGCCTTGCGAAGAGAGATTGAGAATCTTTTGTACTAAGCATGAATTATTGAGCTTCTTCTTTGTACGAAGAGTGAGAGCTTTGGAAGGTAAATATGAAGTGGGCATTGCAGAAGGGAAACATGTCAAAATGGAGTTGCGTTATCCGGCAAAATTGGCAGTTTAAATTGGCGGCGGAGATGGAAGTTCCGGCGAAATCAGCTCGTGATGCATCGTTATATGGTGGACCAACGTGGGGCCGGACCGGCGGGAGGGAATACACAGGGTTATCCCAAGTCCCAACTAATTAACTTATTTTTTTAATTAACACTCATAGTTAAATATATAAAAAAATTAAGTACTATCTTTTTTCTTACCGATCAAATAATCTCTAAATAATCATTTTGCACGAGAGATGAAATAAATAAAAAAAGATATTTCATGAGTTAGATATTAGATATCAAATATCTCATGGCATCAATGGTAAATCTACCTTGTGTGGTAAGATTGTCATGGCATCCTCACGCTTCAATTAACATCAATAGGTTATAGAAGAGGAGTTCTTGGACATTTGACTTTGATGATAAATAATGAAGTACAAAAAGACTTTTCGATTGAAACACTTGCTATTGTCGTACATTTAATTAACAGATTGTCATTTTCAATTATCAACACATAATTAATATTTAAAAAGACAATTCAAGAACTATAAAAGTAATTATGATGGCCTAAATTATTAGAAGGATATGTGTCGAATTTATAAGTGCGTGCCTGAAAGATTGAAGATGTTTCGAACATAAATTCAAAATTATTTTTGTGTGATTGTATCCTTTCCACCTTCCGGTCTCACATTCTGTGACCTACCCGTTGTCCATATCCTTCTAAGTAGTTTTTGTATATAAACTTTCATTGACTTTATATTATATTCTTTTAAATATTTTGGTTTGAATACATTTTCACAATTTTTGCATCGATCTCTTTTTTTTTTTTTTTTTTCACGGACCATTCTGACTATTATTTTTTTTATACGTACAAGACACGTTTTATCGTCTTCACATGATTGACAAAAGGAATTTGGTAACTACTATTCGGATGAACAAAATTTGAGTTTGTTATGGTATTAAACAACGTTTATCAACTATTATAAGTGAAAATAATTAATAACAAGAGCAAAACTTATCATCAATAAGAAAACAGACAAAGGTTATAGATCATACAAATACAAAATAATAATTGAAATATAACTCTATTCAAGATTCATCACGTCTAATATCCTATTAATTTTTCACGAATTCATTAGTTAATTAGAGTACCCCTATATTTTGATTCCTCTTCTGATTAAGCCTAAACCTAAGAGAATAAATTAATGAACAGTGAATGACTGAATGTTAGTATGCTAGAATAATGTTTATTTCTCTTGATCAGTCACTCGATGATTTCAAAAAAGCTCTTTTGAGTAAAACATATTCACTAAATTATTCTTCTTTCGATTACATAAATTAATGAATAACTCCGCAATTTAATTCAAACTCCATAAATTATATTAAGCATAAAACAAGAAAAAAAACGTCAACAATTATTATCAATACACCATGATTGTCAAAACCCCATAAGAATACTACTTCATAATATAAGAAAAAATAAGTCAACTAATTAATAAGAATTATAAAACATTACAATCGAATAATTGATGATTGTTTAAAACTGTCGTATTGAATCGAATCGTGATGAAAAGTAATGAATTCTAGCGGATCTGTCAAAAATTTCTTATCAATTAGTTAGGCTAATGTCCAAGTCAAAGTTAGGATCAATAATTGCCTCTTTCTTAACCAAATTCTTGGAGAACTTCGAAGTGTTAACGTGCACGCTTAGTTCAGGACAGGTGGTTCGGATTCGCAAAGTTTAGTGCATAGAATTGTCTTTGATCCTTGAATTTCTAATAATTATTTGTTATACTTCAAACTCTCAAAATATTTGATTTAGCTCCAAATTTATTATTAGCCCGGTTTTATAGAAATGTATTGTTATATATTATTTCAGCTTTTCTTGATTTCAATCCCTGGCCAATTTTTAATTAATCAAGTAGTTCTTTCACCAATTATCTCCAATTACATCATTTGAATTTGCGTGAGTACTTGTATATATTAACTGAAATGATTATCATAATAATTAACTTCAATATTAAAATAGTTAACAAGATCTTCAAGAAAGTTACATTGTTTATCATAAATATATGAGGAAATGTAGTATTGTCAACGAAGTTCTAAAAGAAAGCTACATATAATACCATAAATAACTTACAAGAAAAAGCCTCATTTATTACTAGCTTTTAAATGTAGTATAGTTCTCGTAGTATAGTAATTACGTATTCCTACAAGTACAACAATAACTAATTCTCAATCCGAATGAGGCTTTCCCGTGTAAATTTGAATTAGTCAGGTCTTAATCCGACTATCGATACAAGTGGAAAAAAAAGTCAAAACTAGAAGATGAATGGGTTTAGACTTTGGATTTTGGAGAATAACAGGAGAAAGATTCTGATGGATGGTGATCTTAAGCTTAAATGGAGTAACATATAATCTTCAATGATTCCATCAAAGTCAAGGAGTTGAATTAGGTGCTTATGATTCACATTTTGCTGAAATATCATGATTTTTAGGTATGGTTGTTATAGTTTTCAATGTTTTGAAATGCTAAGCAATCAGTTGGATAGATCATAGTATTATTAGCTAATTTTACCAACCCTAGCAGAAACTAATTATATCCCATAAAAGCAATTTCTTCAACTTCCCGTCCTTTTTGTATTTCATAAAAGGTATCTGCTTGAGGTTATTGATTTTTGTTTCATATGTTCTTTTTTAGTTATCATAATTTCTCTTTTTAGGGTTAAACGATAAGATCTTTCACTAATATTTTAGGATGTATTTGTTTATCATATTGATATGCAAATCTTTTTACAATTTATAGTACTTTTTCATATAATTTTTGAATATCTAAATTTTTAGTTTAAAAAATTGAATGAACGTAATCTAAAATTAGTCAAATTGACTTTCGAAAAACGCAACATAACAACTAAAAAAGGAACATAGGAGTAGTAATTTGGAATATTGTTAATTTGAGGTTTCCTCTGTTCTATTATTGTTTTGAAAATATGTTCAGCTATTTTGTGTGACGTTGAGATAAAGTATCATCAATTATTGAGTGTCAATTATGGCAAGTCCACCTCTCAACAATCTTACATTAATTATCTAGCTAAATGAGGTATCCAATAAGTCATCGCTTCTACAGCTACTGATGTTGATTTCTTATGCTCTTTCATTTCCAAAAACTTTTCAACTCTTATAGATGCGGAAAAAAAACGTATTTAATGGGAATGGATATCTACCCTTTTGGCTAAATAACACAATTCTAAAAAAGTATGTACATAAACTATGGGTGGACTTCTATTTATATGAAATAAAATAGGCTTAAGTCATTCGTGGCCTCATAAAATTATCCTCATAATTCACTTAAACATTTCAATTATGCTTGTACCTATTGAACACCTAAATTATTCAAAACATGCGTCTATTAAGCACAAAATGCTGATGTGGCAAAATAAGTGCATCTCACTGCATTGAAGCGCGTGAACAAGTCCCAAACTTTTTTTTATTAATAATAAACTTGTACCTTTTTTCTTCTTATGACACTTGACATTGCATTAATTAAAATAACTAAAAATAAACTTTTATTCAAAATGATGTCTTATAATATTCAAAAAGAAAACAAACCCACCCCCACTCCTGTAGGCTATACCAGCGGCTGTCTTCTTCTTTGCCCCATTTTAATCATTTTAAACTCTGTTTTGGTTCTTCATTTTTATTTTTCGCTTTTTATATATATAAAAAAAAAATTGAATCTGTCAAGTGATAATCGAATTTGCAAGAATGAAAAAAATAATTGGATATCAGAGTTATAAAGGAAACTTCCATCCATCTCTATTTCCGGTCACTTCGATCAACAAACATCACCAGCCATTAAAGTTATAAAATAATATCAGAAAATTTGATATAATTCATTTGAATCCTCACAATTTCTCTTCGTCATCAATTTCAAAATAATTTATCAAGTCAACTTATTTTTCACAAAAATCACAATAATTACTCCATTAATCTATCATGCTTCATAATTTATTTCATTATTTGCATTTGACTTAATTTCCATAGCTCATAAGATAAGAGTTAATCTCTTCGGAGGAATAGAAAATAGTGGGGGACAACGGATGAAGAAGAATAAGGGCAAATTATTAGATGGGTGGGGAGAGATTTGTTTTTTTCTTTCTTTTTTTGTTGATGTTGCCGCAGGAGGTGTCGACGTCAGGAGAAGAAGAAGAAAAGTGGGTGGTTTCCTGTGGGGGTATGGGGGAGGAAACTTTTTGTTAATCAATTTTTTGAATTATTAAAGGTTGGAATTAAAAATAAATGAAAATTCATTAGCTTGGGCCCATGTGCCACATGTTGAAGTCTTATTGGTTACTTTTTCAAGACAATGTGCGTGAATTACACACCACATTTTAAAAGCTTTATTATCGTTTTGTGTTCAATAAGTACATATTCCTTAATATTAGAGTGTCTAATAGGTATTAGTCATAGTTGAGGTGTCTAAGTGAATTATGCGGACAATTTTAGGGGGACGCAGATGACTTAAGCCAATAAAATAATACTCTTTTTACAAAGGTTTAAGTCATCCACGGCCTCTTAAAGTTGTCTGCATAATTCACTTGAACACCTGAACTAAGACTTGTATTTATTGAACACCTAAATTATTCAAGACATGTACCTATTAAACAGAAAACGTTGATATGACAAAATAAGTATATCTCATTGCTGATGAGCGCATGAATGCATTTTTTTTTTCTTAAAGTAAATTTGTACCTACTTTCTTGACACTTGACATGCGTTGACTAAATAGATGAAAATTTAATTTAATTAAACATTAATCTTTTAATTCATAAAAAAAAAAACCCCACCCTCACACCCATGTACAAGTCCTCTTCTTCTTCAACCCATCATTTTCAAGACTTCAGATTTTTGTCTTTTGTTTTAGCTTTTTTTTTTCTTCATTTTCGGTAAACAAACTGCTTGTTGAATTTGCAAGAATAAGAAAAAAAATCAACCATTGGAGTTAAAAAGTCGATCAATATTTGTGCATTTTTATTTTAAATAACTCCGATCGAGCAACCATCACCATTTATTTAACTTATTAAAAATGTTATAAATTTTTTTGCTATAATTCTGATTTCTCTTCGTTTTCAATTTCGAAATAATTTATCGATGTCGATTATTCTTATTTTGAGTAACACGGCAAGAAAAAGAAAGAGGAAAGGATTTGGTGGGTGTATTCAGGAAGGAGTGGGGGAGATTTTTTTTTTTTGTTATCGCCGGAGAAATTGATGGTGGATGGCGATGGCGGAGTGACAGAGAAGAAGATGAAGGAGAAAGGGCAATAGGTTAGATGGGGTTGGGGGTTAGGTGGGTGTCGGGGGAGACTTTTTTTTATCAATTTAATTTTCTATATTATTAAAGGCTGAAAATTATTTTTTATTTTTCAAAATTAAAATTATGGGCCCATGTGACACATGTCGTAATTTTATTCGTGATTTTGTCAAGATAATGTGTGTGAATTACACGCACAATATTTTTAATGCTAATTGTCATTTCATGTTAAATAGATAAATATTCGTTAATATTAAAGTATCTAATAGGTAAGAGTCTCAATTGAGGTTTCTAAATGAATTATGTAGACAACTTTAAGGACGCATATGACTTAAGCCTTTTACAAAATCTGATTTTTGTGTCATTGTATTCTTTGGTTTGAATTAACTCTTTTTTCCCAAACAGCTATCATACCAAATAGCAAGACAGGCAACATGGAAGATCAACTTTTAAGTAGTAAAGGAAACAAGTTCCCTGTTGGCACCTCCTGTTCAACGCCTCTTGTTCTAAGCACTTGTGTTGTTATGTGTGGTTCCTTGGCTTATGGATTTGCTGTAAGTATAATAGGCTTTCAAGGTGCAATGAGAAAAACTCAAAAGTTAGGAAAAATTCTTTAGACTGTTAGCGTATACATAGAATCGCAGAGTTGTGGATTTGGAGTTAACAATAATACAAGAATAAATTAGCAAATGTACTGTAATATAGAATTGGAGCAGTAAATATGATTTACTCCTCTTTATATTATTTGTTTTTTTCTGTCTTAGATAAGTAAATCTTTATTTTGTGATGATTTACTTAATTAAGGTGTTTGATGAATTTTATCTTTAATGTGATGATTGCGTTATAGGTTGGCTACACTTCTCCTGTCCAGTCAGGTATCATGGCTGACCTGGGGTTGTCCATTGCAGAGGTAAGAGTACACTTAAATCTGAATTTCCCTTATATATAATTGGAGTGTTTGGGTGTGATTGTTGTAGTGACAATTGGAGGCTGCAATAGGCAACTAACATGCACTGGCAATGGTTAATTCCGTGGCTGTGTAGGGGTGGCTTGGTGTCTCTCTTCAAAGTACATGTTTGAGGAGTCGATGGTTTTGTAAACTATGCAATAATTAAGTGCTACAATGCCTGCTAATGTTACTGAAGTCCAAAAAGATAGTATTAGTTAGAGCTTTGGGGCTCTGATATCTGATATGTAACACATCCGTTCGTGCTGACTTTTTTCTTGTTCTACAGTATTCAACATTTGGAGCTATTCTGACACTTGGTGGAACTATTGGTGCCTTAGTGAGTGGCACTATTGCAGATATGGTTGGGCGGAAAGTAGTATGTTTCTCTTTCAATGCTCGTCTTTCCCTCCTCATTTATTTTTCAAAATTATATACACTAATTAAAGAACTTCCTATCTGGTTTATGCTTTAATATAGACAATGTGGATTATGGATCTTTGTTTCATACTGGGATGGCTATCTATAATTTTTGCAAAGGTATGTAATTCAATGCTCATTCTGGACTTCTTCTATTGAATGTTATTGATTGCTCTTGATCTTATACATCTTACTAGTATCTTTTATAATACTAATAGGCAATGTCTTCGCAGAAATCATATAAACGATTGTTATCTAGCAAGATATGGATGACTAAGGAAAAAGAATTGTTGTAATTTAGTAGGAGGGAAAATGATTTTTTAAAGTAGATAGAAAATATCAAACTAAATTGGAGAGAACTCTTTCAAATAACATGCCATCTTAAGTGTCTGAAGAAGGGGGTTGAGTCTGTTTTCCTAGTTCAACTCACTAATAATTTATTTATTTTGTTTCAAGAGTGTGTGGTGGCTTGATATTGGAAGATTTCTAATGGGAATAGGAGCTGGACTTCTCCTTTACGTCGTAAGTAGCTAAATTACAAAGCATTTTTCAGTTTTCTTCCTGTGTAAAGCATATTAAGAGCAGAGTTCAAATCATGATGCAGGCTCCTATATACATTGCAGAAATCGCGCCAAAGAGTATTCGAGGTGGATGCATAGCTGCAGTTGCGGTAAATGAGAAACCATTATTTTCTGTGACTCAGAAGTGTTCAAATCTTGCATATCTAAAACTGCTATCTTTTGCAGTTCATGGTATATTTTGGTTTTGCACTGATGTTTCTGATTGGCAATATCCTGCCTTGGCGCACCTTGGCTATAGTAGGTAGAGTGCTTCCTATATTATATTTACTTCTTTATAATCATGTTTGCAAAGCTAGACACAGAAAGAGACGGAGCTGCAGAGAAGAACTGATTTACCGTCTTTGGACTTCTTTGTTTCAGGAATTATACCCTCTTTGGTGCAGTTAATAGGCATATTCTTCATACCAGAATCTCCAAGATGGTTGGTGAGTGGAGTATTAACTTCTAACAATTACATGTAGTGGCATTTTCCCTGTCCAAAGAAGCAGCTTTGGACATAAAAATAAGCAAAAGTTTCCCAGACCAACTAATATCAGTACTTCCTGCTTGGTGTATTATAGTCCCCGTCATCTCTCGATGCTATATTCTCAAATTATACCGTAAATATAATACAGAATTCTTAATAAGAGATACAGTCGGGGACACTTAAGAAAAGAAAGGAGTCATAGTACTTTGATTAACAAACTAATGCTTGATACCTTAGTTATGGTCTGTTGTTCACTTTCATATTTTTCCATATTCCCCTTTCATTTGAAGAAAGGGACTGGAATTTGTTTTATTTTCTATACTGATGTTTCTGGAGTAGTTGGATTCCTAATTTACCTATTGAATTGTTTGCAGGCCAAAATCGGTCTGGACAAAGAAGTAGAAGCATCTCTACAATATCTGAGAGGAAAAAATGTTGATATTTCTTTAGAAACAGCTGAAATTAAGGTAACTTGCTTCTAAATGTCTTACTACTAGCTATCTTAATATGTACAATGAACTTATTATCTTTCCTGATTAAACAATCTTCTATCCATTTTACATCGTGTAATTGAAATGAAACCTCTTCACAGGACAACGTGGAGTCACTTACGAAGCTTTCAGGATCGAGATATCTGGATATGTTTGACCGTAGATACGCTCATTCACTCATTGTAAGCATTATAAGATACGGAGTATATAAATATAAAGTGCATAGATATGCATCTCTCTTATAAGCACTATATTTTTCCATTTTTCATCACTTATTGATCTTCCTATTGCTATGTTAATTTTATTAGGTAGGATTGGGAATTATGATTTTGTTGCAGTCTGGAGGAACTGATGCAATTTCATCTTTCGCTAGTTCCATTTTCATAAAAGCTGGTTAGCACCTCATAGACCGTTTGTAACATGAATTATACTCATTATACTTCTATAGCATTTGACACAACTATTTTGCTTTTTAAAAAAAGGTTGCTCAGCTAGTTTTGCAACTACAACAATGGGATTCATCCAGGTTTAAACTCCTGAAATTACAATGTGACTCAGAACTGTTGCTAAAACAGGATCTCATACTATCATTTATTCGTACTTCTCTTTCAGCTTCCTTTTGCTGCTATGGGCATATTCTTACTGGATGCTGCTGGAAGACGGCCTGTTCTGATGGTTAGAAATCAGCATGCCTATTGATGTGTTAAATTTAACGAATCCATAGTGAGATATATGCTTGAAGCAAAACGAAATGGTTTCAGGTCGCGTCTGCTGGGACATGCTTAGGAAACTTTCTTGTAGGTGTAGGCTTTTTGTGTAAGGTACTCAACAGTCAACACACCCTTCCCCCCAACCTTTTCATAATATGACAACAATTTCACTTGCTAGACTTATCAATTTACACATTATTCCTATCAGGATTATGATCAAATGAGTCAGCTCTCTGCCACATTTGTGTTAGTTGGCATACTGGTTTGTTCTTCACACTCTGTTCCACAACTTCATTTTCTTGTATTTTACCAATTTGTAGCTCGAATTGTCCAGTAAATCCATTTACAACTACAAAAGTAACACGTCAACAAACTAAATGATTCGTGCATTGCTGATTTGTTAACAGGTATTTTCTATATTCTTCTCAATGGGTGTAGGTGGTGCAGCTACAACAATCGTTTCAGAGGTCAGCTACTAGCCTTCAATCTCCATATACACACACACATTACACAACTCTAAACCTTTTCGAGTACTATAGTTACTGACTAGTACTCATTACCATATCAGATATTTCCTATGAACATAAAGGGATCAGCTGGAAGTCTAGCAATTGTATGCAACTGGTTTACTTCTTGGATTGTCACATATGCTTTTAACTTCTTATTTGAATGGAGCCCTTCAGGTATGTATGCATCTATCTAGAATTGCTCGAATCGGCGTGTTTGTTTGTTGTTCAAGGTTTAACATTTTAATTTAATTACCAGGTGTGTTCTTCATGTTCACATTTTTTTCCGGGTTGATGATCCCATTTGTTGCAAAGATAGTACCAGAGACGAAAGGTCGGACACTTGAAGAAATCCAAGCATCCTTGACACTGCTTAACTGATACTTTGTTCGTCCTATATTAGACGAGCATCTAACTAAAATAGTTGCTCATATTATTTGATTACTTACTAAATTAAGATCAAATTAATTATATTTTTATTTTATTTTACCCCTATAATTAATATGGTCTTTTGAATGTGTACAATTTCCAATACTAGCTATTCATATACACTATGTACATTTTTCCTAACTTGTTTTTATGTGTATTGATATTAACAAAGGGAAAAATAGTAAAATTTTTATTAATAATTTCTTAATAGAGATGTCAATATGGGCTAGCCCACTCCATTCGGGTTAACTCATATAGGTTTTGAAATTTGACGGATCAGGCCAGGCTAGCGCATTTTTGGTGTGGGCCAGAGAATGGTAGGCCCAACCCATAAGTACCTGGGCTACGGGCTTTGTCGGGCCACCCCTTTTTTTCTTAAAAGTATATTTTTATAATTTTTTAAATTAAATTATAATTTAAAAATATTATCATAAATATTGACAAGACAATATTACATGGTGTTAGTGTTACTACTTGTTAATCAAATCCACAAATAAAATTATCTTTATAATATTTATTAAGTTTGATTTGAAGTAAAAACATAAATAGCTAAACAGAAAGGGAAAATGCATAAGTACCCTCCCAGCCTATACCCAAAATCCCTGAGACACACCTAACCTTTATTAAGGTCTTATTACCCCCCCCCCCCCAAACTTATTTTTTAATTAATTTTCTACCCCTTTTCGGCTTACGTGGCACTATCCTTGAAAAAATTGTCAAACACGCGCTGGACCCACAAGATAGTGTCACGTAGGCCAAAAAGGGGTAGAAAATTATATATAAAATAAGTTCGGGGGTAATAGGACCTTAGTAAAGGTTAGGTGTGTCTCAGGGATTTTGGGCATAGGTTGGGGGTACTTATGCATTTTCCCAAACATAAATATTAACATAATTGTTTTTCAATGATCATAATAAAACACAAAAAACTATGACAATATTCCATAGGCTATGGCCGATGTAGTGATTCCTTAGAAATTTTAGGAAATTTTAATTTTATGTAGTACATATTTTATAAACATAATTTGTATTTAAATTGTAATATTTCAAAGTTTAAATAGATTTTGAGTTTAGACTCTTGTTATCTTTAATACTATATTTTATTTGGCCCACGGGCCGGTCCTATCCATATTTCATAATCCCCAAAAATCGGCAGGCTTATTCAGGCCGGGCTAAAAAGCCCTTTTCTTAAATGGGCTCCAAAAATCATAGCCCAGTCCTATCAAATCACGAGTTAGGCCAGACCGGCCCAATGGACCTAGTCCATATTGACTGCTCTAATTATCGTGTAAAATAAAAAAAAATCATCTAATATTAGGATGGAAGGAGTATTCATTTTTCTTTCAAGAAAAAAAGAAGTTAAACCATCCACATTTTGTGATTTATTGGTCATTGGATTTCTATTTTTTTTTAAAAGGTGAACAAAGTTACTTTTCTTTCATATTTGTATAAAAAAAAAATCATGTCTTTAGTTATTTCATTTCTTATTCTTTTATGTCAAAATAATCACCGATCTTTTTGTGTTTCACTCGAACAATAATTCAAGCCGAAAGTGATCACTTCTTAATAATGTGACATTTCATTTTTAGAGTAAAAAAAATTATTTACTTTTTGATATTTCACTCAAAAAATCATTCAAGCCAAAAAGTGATATATGCGATCACTTTTTAACGGCGTAACACCTGATTTTTAGAGCAAAAAAGAAAAACACTAAACCCAACACTTCTTAATTAGCTGCCACAAATCAAATGATAAATCTTTCTTACTCAATTTCAAGCGCAAAATAGTTGCAAATAATTTAAGGGTCAACGTTATACATATTATTGGATCCGCGTGGACTACATAACTAAAAGTAAAATAAAACTAACACATAATAAAAAAAGAGTTATCGAAAAATTAAAAAATACACATATAAAATATAGTTCCAAATGTGATAAGATTAGTTAGTTTAGTGTACTGTTCAATTCATAGAATTAGTTAATTACTGTTCATTCACATAGTTAGTTAGTTAGTTAGGAGTCACAAGTTTACAATTTCATAGTCAGTTGAGTTTGTTAGAGGACTCTATCAATGTGTATATATATACATACATTGTATTGTATTGATTGCAGTTTAGTTTTCACATTCTCAATAATATATTTTCTCTCCTTCTTCTGATTGTTGGTGAAAGCTCAACCTCCATTAATGGAGGAAGTACATTGTTTCGCAGCTTATGCTGCTAGTTTTGTCATGGTATCAGAGCAGTGAGATTACTGCTCCTCTCTCTCGTCGTGAGCACTATATTCAATTCGATTTGCCGATATTTTTCTCGCCGTCTTCTTCTCCCTGATTTTCTCTGAACGATCTCATTATCGTTCCTCTGTTTTGTTTCGAACTTGCTCATTGTGAGTTCTGTCATGACCCGAGAGCACCCCCAAGTCGTAACATGCGTATTCGACCTCTCGGAGGTCTCATACAAGCCCTTAGCATTCATCACATTAGATATGTAAAATAGTGCGGAATTAAAAACTCTTTAAATAAAATCCCATAAGACTCAAAGGTCACTTTTAAAACATCATTCAAAAGTACACAAGCGGAATACTAAGTCTCTTAGCCATCTTAGACATAAACGTGAAAACATACTAGGGACACGGCCCTTTACAATCAAAAGAAGTCTATTAAGTCTATTACAAGAACCTTATCATAAAACTAGAATAGAAAACTCTTGTCCTCGACATATGAGGACATACCACAAGATCTTGGAAGAACTTCAAGTTCCAAGCTTACTATAGAACCCGCTCTCTTTCCGGAACCTACACTTGTAGAAAATAGAGAAATATGGAATTAGCACAATTAAGTACTAAGTATGATGACCATGCAAAAACATGCCAAAACGGACATTTACAAGGAATAAATGTTTTCATATTATTTTGATAAAACCTTCACTTCCCAAGTATAAGAGACATAATACAAGTCAATGTTCACATATAAAACCATAGCCAACCATATACATACTCAACATATATTCATATACAACCCATGCTTAACTTTAAAAGAACACACACCATTTCATTACCGTAGGACCTCTACCTAATATAACCTTAAGACACACTTGAGTGAGACAAGAAGTGACCGCCCATACAACCTCTTCAAGCACACTTAAGTGTTCCTCAAGATTACCTTAGTTAAGGACACTTCCTTTATAACATAACATCAATAGACCAACATTCTTTAAGAAACCATTTAGGAGACATTCAAGCACATAAGGGGACTTTCACATAATAGTCGTTAGACTTAGGGAACTCACTTTAGTATTTTCAAAGCCTACTCGTGCCATGTGTAGATATCATCTCATACTACTACCTACACGTTGTAGAACCTATCCAATAACTAGAGTGCACATCCCACATGATGGGAATAGGCATAACCGACATAGACCATACTAGCTAAGCATGGAATCCGGAGTCTATCCTACTCCGTGGAGGTTCTACTTGCCAAAGGTAGAACTAGTAAGCAACCCATGTAGGCACATGGTTTAGGGGATGTCCAAGGAAGTTCATTGTGCCTAATCTCATACTCAACTAGGCCACCTTCCTAACCACATCCACTCGGTGCTAGCCTTGTTTCCCATAGAGTATTCAATCACATATGTACTTAGAGAGGGTTCATTTTCTAGTTCAACCAACTCATAGTACCTCTTCCCAAGAAAGGCCCCATCTCTAAGTCATGGCCGATCAAGGTTCATAAGGATAGCTCATTTGACTTTCTTAGATAAGGATTTTCATGCCGTTCCGGCTCCATCCATCTCTAAGTCTATCATCTCACTCAAGAAGGGAACTTCGCCCTAAGGCCCATCCTTCAAGGTTATACATTTACTTAGGAAATCTAGACTTATGAAAGGGCACCATTTCTTAGTTTTGCTGATTCAAGTCTTGGCCTAGAATTTCTCTTTTAGCATTTATAGAAAGGGCACCATTTCTTAGTTCTAGCCCACTTCACACATTCATGCATTCAAGACTTTAAGTAACAAGGAGAGACACTTTAGTCTACCAACCAAGTCACAACATTATCATCTAAGGATACTTCATAATTCAACATCATTTCATTTATACATCATGAGAAAAATCATACTTTAAATCACAATGCTATCCACTTTACATAGGATCATCACAAGATCACATAAACTCATTCACATCATACCTTCACACATAAAGCTTCACATAAAACTTTACATATAGCTTCATATAAGACTTTACATATAGCCTCATTTATATATATATTATACAATACAATAACACTTTGTACAAAATCACCTTATAACCATAAGAATACCTTCACATAGTACAATAACATTTCATAACTTGATAACACTTTAATTCAATAGATAATGCATTCAAGTCCATGTTCATAATACATTCCATAATTAAACACCTCCACCATAAGTGGATCAAACTAAGCAAGAACAATTTTATCTATAATAAGAGATTAAGCCAACTTACCATCCTCCAAAGCCATAATCAACAACACTCAAGTCCCAACCATTTTCCTTACCACAAGAGAATTCATCCATAACTTGCTCATAAGGCCACAACTTTCAATTCATCCATACATCATCAATTCATCATAGATAGATGTAGAAAATCATAAGAGTCACTAATACAATCCAATCCAAACACAATTTCATAAACTTTGAATCATAAGAAAAAGACCCACTTCATAAGCAAATTTAGGAATTTAGGGAAAACATGGGTTCTTCAAGGAATTCCATACGAAATCATCTTAAAAAAATATTAATTCATCAATATAATGGCTTAGAAAACGTTTTGTCAATGAACCCATGCTTAGATTAGAATTTGAGATTTTTGTTCTTTGAAACACTTTTGAAACCCTTTTGATTGGACTCCTTGAAAGAAAGATTCATCAAGGATCAAGGGTCACCATACCTCTAAGTTGATAGCCCATGAAAAATTGAAGAAGAAAGAACTCAAAATCTTCAACCCTAG